GTCCATACCAGGATCAAATAATGTCCATACCAGGATCAAATAATATCCAAACCAGGATCAAATAATGTCCATACCAGGATCAAATAATATCCAAACCAGGATCAAATAATATCCAAACCAGGATCAAATCATGTCCAAACCAGGGCCAAATCATATCCAAACCAAGGCCAAATAATATCCAAACACAGACCAAATAATATCCAAACCAGGATCAAATAATGTCTAAACCAGGGCCAAATAATATCCAAACACAGACCAAATAATATCCAAAACACAGACCAAATAATGTCCAAACACAGACCAAATAATGTCTAAACCAGGAACAAATAATGTCCAAACCAGGATCAAATAATGTCCACGCTCACCGAGGTTTTGCGGAGGCGGTCCGTCTTCCCGAAGAAGTAGGCGTCCTCAAAGGAGGATGTGCTTCCTCGCAGCTTCTCCGACAGGTTCCGGTAGAGGCGCTTCGCAGCGCTGGGCGAGGCCGGCCCACCGGGACACTTCCTGGTCTGGGACAACTGGAGGTTCTGCATCTGTTGGGTCATGATGCCTGGAAAGCGTCTGAGGAGGAGGAGGGAGAGATGTCAGACATGGTGATCTGTACCTGGACCTCTATCTGTACCTGTCCCTGCACCTGCACCTATACCTGCACCTGTACCTGTATTTGTGTATTTAGTTAAAACTTAAGCCATTCTGGATTTCTGCCGGCCTGTTTCCTAATGGTACCCACAGACTCTGACCCCAGACCTGTTTTAGGGGTTCGGGATGTAAAGAATTTCTCTTGGAACCAGCTCCGCCTCATGAACCACCTGGAAGTTAAGAGGTTCTCATGAGACACACTGATGTTCATGAGGTATTTTGTTTTTATTAAACTTCTACACATTTTCCTCTCTCTGCTCAGCTGCAGTGGTTACGTTCCGTGAAGAAGTGAATTCATTTGAACGAGTCAGAAACTAAAAAAGGTTTAACGTCTCTGCAGGGGGCAGCCAGATTCCCTCCAGAAATGCTGATTTGTTGCTTTTTAATGTCACCAACCGCTTGATGATAATTAGAGTTTTTCTGCAAAACAAAAACAGATTTAGTGTCTTTATTTGCACCATTTAAGTCTAACTCAGTTTAATGGCTGCTGTTTCTTGTGATTAGGTCGTGCATGAGACAAATGGCTGCGGTTCTGGTTCTGCAGCTCCTCACGCACTCATTACTGTGTGAAGCAGCTGCTAACGTGGCGCCGGCTGCAGGAAACACACCTGATTGTTGAGCACTGGGCTCAGCGGGACGCCACATTCTGCTCTCTGCTGCTGCTGATTGCCTCTTATTCTGCTCTGTGTGCCAGCGCTCCAGCTATTAGACCGGGCCCTGCCGGCGCTGCAGCCACACACATTACTGACGAGTGTTCTGTGATGGAGCCGCTAACGGCTCATTCTCTGTGTTCACAGCAACTGATCAGCAATAATACTAAAGGGCTTTTATCAGTCGGATCCATTTCAGGATCCTGCAGTTAGTTAATAAGACAGAAACTATAAATGAGCTGAAATTATATAAAGGCATCATTACAACTGAAGGCCTGGCCGTCCTGAAGGGACCAACATGAGTCCATGTTGAGAAAGTGACGGGTGAAGATGTTTTGGTCCAAGATGGATCTGATAACGTGAGATGTTTCTGATGGTGATCAGGTGGAATTATTACCAGGTGAGAAAGACCTCTTAAGACCACACTCAGACCCTCATACTTTCAGACCATCCTCAGACTCTTAGACCACACTTAGACTCTCAGACCATCTTCAGACCCTTCTCATACCCTCAGACCATTCTCAGACCATCCTCAGACTCTACGACCATCCTCAGACCCTTCTCATACCCTCAGACCATCCTCAGACTCTCAGACCATCTTCAGACCCTTCTCATACCCTCAGACCATCTTCAGACCCTTAGACTCTCAGACCGTCCTCAGACCCTCAGGCCACTTTTAGACCATCCCCAGAACCTTAGACCATCCTCACACTCTAAGACCATCTTCAGACCCTTCTCATACCCTCAGACCATCCTCAGACCATTTTCAGACTCTCAGACCATCCTCAGACCCTTCTCATACACTCAGACATCCTCAGACTCTCATACCCTTAGACCATTCTCAGACCGTCAGACCATCCTCAGACCCTTAGACTCTCAGGCCATCCTCAGACCACTTTCAGACCATCCTCCGAACCTTAGACCATCCTCAGACTCTCAGACCATCCTCAGACCCTCAGACCACTTTCAGACCATCCTCCGAACCTTAGACCATCCTCAGACTCTCAGACCATCCTCAAAAAACTTTCCAGAGTTCATGCAGGTTTCAGTAAGTTAAATTTAAGACCTTTTAAAGACATTAGGAATGACATTTAAGACCAAACTGACGCATTAACTCAGAAATTGTAACATAGAAACCTTTCATTGCTATCAATTTAGCTATTAAAGAACATTTAATTTTAATACAAGAACACTAAATTATTTTAATCAAATGTTCATACCTATGAGACCTTCATATCAACTGCTGTGGACCGCTTCCAACAGAGTGCAAAAATCACTGATAAAGTTTCATTGAAAACACACTTTCCCATGTTTAAACGACAAGCAGTGGACATGACTGAACTTCTTTGCAGGTGAACAAGCTGCTGTATGCAAGGGGTTGTAGCTGTCAGAATTTGTTGTGTTGAACCCAAAATGCAGGCAGACTCGATGAAAAAACAGAAACTTGTTTATTAAATAACAAAAGAAAAAGGCTGACGTGGCAGCAAAATACTGAAGATAACAATGGATAGAGATGAGGCATAAAAGGCAATGATCCAACGGAGAAATGAAGACAAGACACTGGTTAAACACTACAGAGGACGATTGGGGAGTGGAAGCACCTGGGTGATTACTGACTATGAACAGGTGAGTGTGGCAGGCTGGAAAAACATTAAGAAGCTGACTGAGGTTAACATGGCACATGAAAACAGAACACTAACAGGAAATGAGAAAACACGACAATACCAAACAATGAAAAACAGTCTGAAAAATACTAACAAAAAGAACCATAAAAACAAGAATCATGACAGTAGCATCAAAGAGGTCGAAAACATGGAAGTAAACTGAAATGTTTTGCCTGCAGTTATCACAGGATTTTGTAGTTAACAACGTACCATGACTGATAGGAAACTAAGCACTTCAATGAAGACAGATCCAGTCAACCTCTGATTATGGCACTTTTTTGTTTATTTATGCAGCCAACACTTCTCGGGAATGATCGAAAGTTTAAAAAAATTAAGACTTGACAAAATTAAATTTAAGACCTTGGATGAAAATCTTGGCTTTTTTTAAACATTTTTTAGGACTAAAATTTTGATTTTCAATTTTTAGACTTTTTAAGACCCTGCATGAACCCTGACTTTCAGACCATCCTCAGACTCTTAGACCATCCTCAGACATTCAGACCACTTTCAGACCATCCTCAGACCCTCTTCAAAGAGGGTCTGGACCATGTCGGCAGCATCGTGATGGGAGGAAACTGCTCAGAGTTAAAAGATGGAACAAAATACAGAGAAACTATTGATGGAAACCAGTTGGAGTGTTTGTGAGATCTGAAACCAGGACAGAGGTCTACCTCCCAGCAGGACAAAGACTCTAAACACCCAGTTTAAGACCACTCCACCGTTCTAATCAGAACCAGTTAAAGGTCCTGGAGTGGTCCAGTTAAAGGCCAGACATCAGTTTAGCTGAGTGTCTCTGGTTTGAAAAAGAACAATGGTCACAAAACAATCTAAAACCCAATGATCTCCAGATTTACTGTGTTTATTTTAAACCTGTTAACACATTTTTCTCTGGACCTGAAGATCTTTTCTGGGGAGAACTTTTATTTCTGGGTTGTAGTTTGAAGGAGGTGGTCTGCTGACTTTTTGTTTTTAACACCACTTCACCGCCTCACCTGTGATTGCTCTGAGAACAGTTTGAGCTGCCGACCAGCTGAGCGACACAGTCCAGATATTTCAGGACATGTGGGTTTCAGTTCTGACAGGATCACGAGGAGACACATCAGAACCCAAACAGACCAGACGGCCTCTCAGAGCTTCGGAGTTAAACGGTTCCGCAGCAGGCGAGCTGTGAATCTTTAGCTTGTTGATGCGATGTTTTAGCAGAAAGCTGTGAAGTGGAAATCTTCTCTTCAGGAGTGTCTCCAGATCCTTCTGAGCACACGACGGAGCGTGAAAAGATAAGCGTCGAGGAGATTTAATCAGCTTCCTGATGAGGAAACAAACCACCGAGGACCCGACCCGAAACCGTCTCAGCTCCAACATCCAGCTGAGCAGAAACAATCAAACTAAAACTGACAGGAACGTTTTCACACATGAAGATCCTCATCGTCAGAGTGTCAGAGGCGTGTCGGTGAGACACCGCCACACATGATGGAGCTCCATGACAGAGAACTTCAGGACCCACAGCATTAAGAGGGTTTGGATCTACAGCAAATCTAAAACACACCTCAGACATCTAATGTTCAATTTATCACCAAAGATTTAAAACCTCCGAGACAACTTTGGTCACAAGATTCAAACATGGACTTTCTCCTCTCAAGCCAGCAGGAAGTCGACTCGGTCTACGTAGACCGTGTCTCTTGTTGCATGCAAAGACCAGAAGAAAGTGGGAATGAATTTGGACCGTCTAGCCTTCAGCTTTTTTTCCCACCCTTACCCCGGCATTTGTCCTGTCCACTAGCAACAGTGACGATGCTAAACAGAAGCAATGAAGATTGAAAATAATATGAATGTATCAATAATAATATCCACTGCTATGCCAACGATGTACAGCTCTACATTTCCACAAAACCAATCAGTACTGCAACTCCCTCCACCCTGACCAACCGCCTCACTGACTTATCCACATTTAAATCTCATCAAAACCCAACTTGTTGGAACTGCTTTTAATGTGTGATTAATGTCCTGTTTTAGGATTTTCATTGTTTTTTTTTATTTTATTGTATTTTTATTATTTTTGATGCCCAGTGCTATGCATTTAAGGGTGTTGCTTTTCTAATTTTGTTGATGTACTTAAGTGTTTTATTTGTAAGCATGTTTGAGTCGTATAAAGTGTCTTTGAGTTTTTAGAAAAGTGCTATACAAATAAAACTATTATTATTATTATTATTATTATTATTATTAATTAACAAGGTTAGCTTAGATGCTATACATAAAGAACTTAAGGAACCCGACATACGAGGTTGTTTGTTTCTGATGAGAATATTAAAAACGTGTTTATGCAAATGAAAAAAGCTTAACAACACAACAGCTTTAAACTTGAATTTTTTTACAGCCAGATTTTTATTTTTAGACTGTACTCCTGACTCTCACTTTGTTCATAATTACAAACAAAATGATCTCTCAGTCACCTTGCAATAGCTCATGGGACAGGGTGGGAGGAGGTGGATACACTGGACCCGTCCCTCAAAACTGTGGAAACGGAGGACACATTTGTGGGCCACAATTAGACTCTTCAAATTTGGACAGCTTTCAGCGTGGCGCTGTGACGTAATCCCGTGGTTCCCAACCTCTTTAGACTTGTGTCCCCCCGAGCCATTTTGCCATACACTAGTACCCCCCTCTGTCAAACGTAATGACTCTCAAAAAAAAAAAAAAACTATAATGTACAACAGCTGATTTTTAAATGAAATTTATTTATTTAACCCCCTAGAACATTTCATTCTCAGGCATTTTATTCTTTTCAACTCAAATTAAACATAAAGATAAAAATGTTGCCTTGAAAGTGAATAAGTAATTAAATAAATAAACCCTTTAATGGGCAGCAGGGAAGCAAAAGCATCCAAAATATGTCAGAAACTCACCCAAATTAGCAAATTCTGTGAGATTCTGCATTTTATACTGGATTTCACTTTGTGTCAATTCCGTGATTCCATCTGCAATTTCCGCATCGTGGAAATCAGAGGGCCCTACACATATCAGTTATATTTTTATTTATTTTTTAACACACCTGGGAAATGTTTCCACGTACCCCCTGTAATATGCTTACGTACCCCAAAGGGTACACGTACCCCTGGTTGGGAATCATCGGCCGATAAATTCAGCCCCTGATCCTCCTGAACATCAAAGATTAGAGCCGTCATGAAGGGTCTGTGGGGGCGGCCATGATGGAAACACAGGGGGAAGAAACGCATGCTGGGTAATATGCCTTGTTGAAGAGGGGCAGAACCACAGAGTAAAAAGTAAGACTCAGACAAACAATCTTTGTGTGAAAACTCAAAGTCGGATCAAAGAACTTCTTGACCCGTGAGCACCACAGGTTCTGTTAGATGGTTCTACAGCTCTGGTGTAGGTTCTGCTCAGTCTCAGTGTTCCTGATGGAGTTAGTGATGAACGGTAATAAGCAGCTGTGAGTTCGTCACGATGTGACCCGCCTTCTGAAAGAATCTGTGAAAGGCTCACAGAGAGCCTAAAGAACCGAGGACAGGATCAGTCAAGGTTACCTGGATTCTGTGGAGTTACCTGAGAACATCCATTCACAGCCACAGAGCTAACAGATAAATGCAGGTTTAATTTTAGATTTTCACTGCGGAGTATAAAAAAAATCTTGTGTAAAGAGTCAAAGGCTTTTTGTGGCGCAAAAGAAATCCTTTTAAGCCTGAAAAGCTCTGAAAAGTTCTTTACTGCCAACAGAAAAGTGTTGAGCAGAAACCCAGCGGTGTCGGGGTAAACGGGTCCGTTTGTTCTGCTAAACGACTTCGACAAAAGGCTTTGTTGACATTTAAGACAATCAAAAGAAAATTATGGCTGCTTTTAAAAGGAAAATCTTTTTAATCTGTCTGATTTATTCAAACATGTCTGCTTTTTCTAAAAACTAAAATAACACTGACTGCTAACCATTCGCCACAATGACAGGAACCTGGAACTGTCTGTGTGTTAGCAAAATATCTCATGGACCAGTGAACAAACTGAAACTATAAAGGTCTGTGCACGTTTTGATCAAACTAGTCAGCTAATGTTTATTTATTAATTAAAAGGTGTTTATTTGTCACGTTATCAGACCATTTAAGGTGGCGCTAGATAAATGTTTTCTTTTTAATTAGCTACACTAGCTATATTAATTAAAAATACAGTCTACAGTCAGTTAAATAAATGTAAACCTAGTTAACTTGAGCTTTTCTTATTTACAGGCAGCTGCCTGTTATCAAAAAGTTATTTAATTAACTCCACCTTAAATGGTCTGATAACAGTGTTACACTTCCTGGTTTGAGAAAAAGAAAACACGCCTTTTTCTGTTTTTGGAAATGAAAATAGAATAATAGAATATATATTTTAAAGAATTTAAAGAATATATATTTTAATATCTGTTTTTACAATAAAAAATAATGACCAAAAAGTACACAGAGCTGTTAGACCTGAAAGATCTGATTTATTTTCCACTAAATGGTTTAAAATCAAGATAAAACAGAAAATAATTTTGTTCTGTTTTTGAACTTTATTCTTCTTTTGTGTATTTGTGTATATGTGCATTGGTATATGTACATTAATATATATCACATGTATATATTGTGGGGTTGTTTTTGTTTGTTATCTTTTATTTATCTTTCATTATTCTTCTCAGCCTCTCCTGTATTAAGCTGTGTGTTAAAATGTGCAAATTTCCCCCCTGTGGGATCAATAAAGTTTTATCTTATCTTATCTTTTATTTGATTTTCAGATAAATTGCTGTTTATGCTTCAAATAACTAAACCTGCTTGTAAATAAACAATCTGTAAAAACACATCTTTAATAAAAAAGATGTGTGATTTATATCAGATGAGTGTTTTATCAACCAGAACAAGTTAACTAATCTTTACCAGGTTAACCGATGATATAACCAGGACCTGATGATGATTCCTCTCTCACACACAGTTAAGGGTTTCTATCCTCAAGAGGACTTTTTCATTCATTTCTACAGCCCAACCCCGACCCAAAAACAGGATCCGTACCTGTGGGGACCGCCGTGACCCAAGTCAACAAAACCTGAATATTAAAGTTCTGGAGCGGCCGATCCGGTCTCCAGAACTCAGTCCTTCTGTGGAGAAAGTTTCTGTAAAGAGCAGCGGGTCAAACCCCTCCTTAAGTCAGAACCAGCGACCCAACTCAGACCCAGCAGAACCCGTGTCATTCTGAACAGAACATCGTGTTCTGTCTGCAGATGTTTGTGTTTGATCAGAAACAACCAGAACTTTGCGGTGCTGGTTCTGTTTTAGCTCCAGTAAAAAACCCGAACCGGACCGAGCTCTGTGACACCGGTTCCGTCAGAACCAGCATGTTAAAAGGTGTGTGAGCTCACCTGTCCAGGCTCAGGGAGGATCGAGGTGGTCCCGTGTGGTACAGGGGCTTCGGGTCTCGAATCAGAACATCTCCCACGGACCTGTGGTTCCACTTCTGGGCCAGGCGGGCGATCTTACTGTCCGACCTGATGCACAAACACAAGAGAGAGGAGAGTCAGCCCGGTGCCTCCAGAACCGGGTCCAAAACCACAGAAAGTTCCAGCAGGTTCCACCGACACTAAAACACACAATTATCTGCAAATGACCTAAACCAGAACCAGAACCAGAACCATTCATCACAGATCTTAACAAGCGGTGCAGCCCGACGTCCTGCTGGGCTGCAGCAGAACTCCAGCCTGACAGCAGACACCTGTCGGATCAGAACTCCGGCTCTAAAGTTGTCCGTTCGGATCCGACCAGAACTTCTGCGGTCGCTCGGATACTCACAGAGCAGCAGCCGAGGATCCTCTGCCGGGTTAAAGCCTCTCTGACCGAAGCCGTCCGGCAGAACCGGGTTCTGCTGAGGACCGGATCATCGGATCGTCGTCTCCTCTGGTGGAGGAGGAGGAGGAGGAGCAGCTCCCCCCAAGACCAGAGTCTCAGTCCTGGGTCTGAGCGAGCGACTATCTGCTGCCTGCCTGGAGCTCCGGCTGAGAGCAAGAAACACCTGTTCACCGGCGAGCGCATCCCACACACACACACACACACACACACACACACACACACACACACACACACACACNACACACACACACACACACACACACACAGACACACACACACACACACACACGGTGCGGTGGAGGAGGGGCGGCGGACCGAGCCTCTGAGAGGCGGGAACAAAAGGCAGGAGGTGTCAGAGTGATGAGCGTCGCTGCAGCAGAAAAACCAACAAATAAAACTGATTTAAATCTCACAGCTTCCTGTTTATTTCTGAATCATCAGCTTGGTTTCAGGCTAAAATACTAAATTTAAAAACATCTCTGATGATTTATGTCTTTAAAATCTGAAATCTGTGACTTTGCAAAAAAAGACAAGTTTGTGATTAAGTAACGTCTTAGATCAGAAACAATAAAACGAAACAAGTTCTTATTTCTAACATTTTATCAGGATAATTCAGGAACTCTGATTCTGATTCATGTTGCTGAAACTGAGCTGAAAGCTAAAAGTAGTGTTATGGAATAATAGCATAAGGTTAGCTACATTTATGCTAACTAAAATGAGCATCATTAGATTGGGCTGTATTAGCATGAACAGCAGCAGAACTGGAATTAGCGGTGTTAGCGTTAGCCAAACCTGCATCGATTATTTATTTAAATTCATTTTTAAATTTAACTTCAGAGAAATTGTTCACGTTGGAACCAGCAGGACAACTTGTTGGACATCTGAGTAAGAAGAGGGGAGGGACATGGTGGACAGACAGCAGGATGGAGACAGAAGTCAGGACTAAGAACAGAAGGCAGGACGGAGGACAGACAGAGGACAGACAGCAGGACAGACAGAGGACAGAGGACAGACAGAGGACAGAGGACAGGAGGACAAACAGAGGACAGGAGGACAAACAGAGGACAGAGGACAGACAGAGGACAGAGGACAGGGACCTGTTGATATGTTTCAGGGGTTGTTATCAGTGACGGCAGCTGCTCGTTGACTCACTGACAGGAAGTGTTTGTTCTAAATGTAGCTACAAGAACTGCAGGTTTAATGTGTGACCAGAACCAGACAGAACCTAACAGAACCAAACAGACCCTAAAAGAACCAGACAGAACCAGATCGAGGAACTCAGAACCTGCAGAAACTCTTTTTGATCTGAATCTTCAGGAACCATCTGTTCAGAGCTCACATCAGCAGAAACACTGGAGACTCAAACAGGAGCCAGACTCTTATTCTGAAGAGGATCGAGGAACTTTATTTTGAAACTCCAGGCTCTAACTTCTTCCTGTTTGGTCTTTAAGTGTTAGATTCTCTTTCTATGTTTTTTTTTTTTGTCTGTAAAGTTACAGAACCGTGCAGAACATCTGATCCAACCATTATATTTATCCTATAATCTGATAGAACTGGTCTGGATTAGAACTGGTCTGGATTAAGACTGGTCTGAATTAGAACTGGTCTGGATCAGAACTGGTCTGGATTAGGACTGGTCTGGATTAGAACCGTCTGGATTAGGACTGGTCTGGATTAGGACTGGTCTGAATCAGAACTGGTCTGGATCAGAACTGGTCTGGATTAGGACTGGTCTGGATTAGAACCATCTGGATTAGGACTGGTCTGGATTAGGACTGGTGTGGATTAGGACTGGTCTGAATCAGAACTGGTCTGGATCAGAACTGGTCTGGATTAGGACTGGTCTGGATCAGAACTGGTCTGGATTAGGACTGGTCTGGATTAGGACTGGTCTGGATTAGAACCGGTCTGGATCAGGACAGGTCTGGATCAGGACTGGTCTGGATTAGGACTGGTCTGGATCAGGACTGGTCTGGATTAGGACTGGTCTGGATTAGGACTGGTCTGGATTAGGACTGGTGTGGATCAGAACCCTTCTGGTTTTGAACTTTTCTGAATCTCTTTTAAAAAAAGGACTTCCTGGACTAAAGGTTTGTTTTGACATCAGGACCGTCTGAAGCAGAGGATGCTCCGGCATCCTGCCAGCCTCTGCGCCCGGCTGCAGCATCAGGACCGCTCTGTTTCCATGGTTACCATTGAAAAGCAACAGGTGAGGAGGAGGAGGGGAGAGGAAGCAGTTTAATGTCCTGCTGTAAATATTTACAGACGGGTTTTTCTTCCACGCTCCGGTTTCATTCAGCTCTGCAGACGGATCAGATCCGAGCCGAAACCTGGTGCTGGTCTCAGGATCGACCCTAAATCCTGCAGTTTGATCCAGACTGAACAAAGATGAAGGTGGAGGTTCTTTAACCTCGTCAATTAAATTTTAACAGTTTTAAAATGTTTAATTATTTAAACCAGAAATATGATAAAACTCAAACCACGTGTCAAACTCAAGGCCCGCAGGCCAAATGTGGCCTTTTATGTGTCTTTAAAGAGATCCACGATTAGTTGTAACATTAGACTTTATTTAATAAACATACATTTTAACTGTAAAATAAAGACTGTAAAAATACTGTAGGCTGTTCAGTTTTTATAATTTTTAAACTACATTTTTAAAAATATATTACACAAACTGGGCCGTTTTATTTACACGCAAAGCATTCTGGGTAAAAGATGATGTCGATGGGTCCTCGGTGTGAACGTGGGAAAGTTCGGAATTCAAGATGGCAGCTACTCACCCCATCTCATCAGTGAGTAAAACTTTTAATTTTACTTTTAATAGTATTTTTTATTATTTATTTGATATTTTGTCAGTCGTTCTCATTTCAGTGTTTAAAAAAGGACTGTTAAAACGCTGTTTTTATGCAGGAAATACCAGGTAGAGCTCAGTTACTGTTTGTTAGCAAAGCTCAGGAACGTGTCATGTTTTATCATTTTTATTTTGTTTTATAACTGAATGTAAAAACAAAAAGCAAGATATTGAAGCGGAAACAAACCAGCGATACGCAGCAACGTAATAAAAACTAGAGAAATCGCATTTCCTGTGAAAATGCTAGTGTGAATGCTTCTTGCTGAAAACTTAGGCTGAAAACTGCTGAAATATAGCTGAAAACATTTAATAGCAAAAGTGTTAATGTGAGCATACTTTGAAAAGCTAAAAGCAAAAAAAACTAAATTTGCTGAAAAATAGTAAAGGAGCACAAATCTAGTTGAAAACAACAAAAAACAGCTAAAAGCTAAAATAGCTGAGAATATGTGTAAAACGTATAACAAGCACAAATTAGCAGAAAAAAACAGAAAGTAGAAAACATCAGAAGAATAGCAGAAAGAAGCTGATCTAAAGTTGAAAAATAATTTTAAAAAGCTCAAACTAGCATGAAAAATAAGCTAAAGGTAGCAGCCACAAGTTGTAATTAACACCCACATAGTGAAAGTTGTGTAAAAAAAATAAATTAGCATTAGAAAATGCATAAAAGTACAAAAAATGTTCATTTATAGTAAAATAGCAAAAACAGCTGAAAGTTTCAGTAAAACAGCTAAAATGTAGCTGGAAATTCTTTAATTAGCTAAGGAGCATGTTTGCTGAATTTAGCAGTATTAAGTTGTAATAATTACAAAAACTGTGTATTTAGCTTAAAATAGCTCACTTTAGCTAATATCAGCTGAACTTTAGCTAAAATTGTAGAAAATAGCTGAATATAGAAAAGAGCATCTGTAAGAAGCCTAAACAGCACAAAGTAGCAGAAAAAGATAGAAAAAAAGCAGAATAGCAGAAAGATGCAGAATTGTAGCTGAAATAGCAGAAAAAAGCTACAACTAGCAAAAAGCAGCTAAAATTAGCACAAGAAAGTGAAAAAGAGCAGAACCAAAACAAAATGTGCAAGGTTTTGTAAATATTTAGAAACATTTTGAAGGGTTTTAAGGATGTTGAAAATAGCCCCATTCATTTTCAATGGGAAAAAAAGTGGCCGAAAAAGTGAAATAGCTGAAAAAGTATAAATAGCTGAAATACCAAAAGTCATAGCTCCCCTCACATGAATGAGCTGAACGTTTTGATACATGAATTGTTGAAATAACACAAAAAAATGAGACGAGTTTGATTCCGAAAATCGTACGGAAGAAAAAATGCTCTAAATAGTGTGAATGCTGTGAAGAATTTACACAAGAATAAATAAATAAATAAATAAACAAATTTAAAGCTTAACTAAACATGTTTTAATACATAAAATACAAAATCTGGACACATTTCAAACTTTTTAATGATTGAAATTAAGACGAAGCATTCTCAGCCTGAGAAGCTGAGTGAAGGCGTTCAGACGTCCCGGTCCAGATAAACCCATTCTCTGCCTCAGAGTGTGAACACCACTCAGCAGCTCCTCCTCTCCTCCCCGGCTCTCTGCTCGGTTCTGGAGTTCGTCACGACTCGGTACTCCATCCCAGAACGCAGCTTTAATGGAGCGTTCCGTGTGTGAGCTTTACGAGTGTGTGGGAGTTCTCCTCGGAGGGAGTGTGACAGCGAGGAAATGACTCGCATCCATCACACAGACGCCGCTGCTTCGGTGGCTTCCTGCCGTCAGAGCTGCAGGGACCGAGACAGATCCAGCTGGACCTGGACCGCTTTACACGGCTGGCAAAGAAACCAATCAATCACTGATGATGAGTGCTCAGATTAAATCTAATAAACTCACTTTGTTTCACACGAGGAAGCGTTTTCTGGTGGGACTGAAGATGGAGCGAAATCCAGAAGCTTTTCTTTAATAAGTCATGTTTAAGTTTTGACCTGATGTTTGGACCTTTGGTTTAAAGCCAACAGGAAGTTGGTCATTTTGGATCAAAGACACCAGGCTGCACTTTGTTGTATTTAACCGAACTTCTCGTAGAGATGCTGACTTTAAAGTGCCTGTGACATACATATCCATGAAAAACAAAAAGTCAAAGAAAATATATTTATATTTAAGAAACCTGGCATAATACACATGATTTCATCTGTTATGTCACATAATTGGCATATTTATTTTGAAATTAGCTCAACTAAAGTGAAACAGGAAGTGACATCAAAGGGGAAGTCTTTGAGAAAGAAAACGTCCTGGTTTTTTATTGAAACAATATTATTTGAACTGACTCTTCCTCATCTCTCTATTAATAGTGATTAAAATAATCTAAAGAAACATCAGACTCTTCTCTACAGTCTGTGTTGTTAGCTATTTTAGCAGCACTCTGTTTACATGCAGACATTCCCCTCTGACATCACTTCCTGGTTCTTCACATGCAAATGTCTCAACAACTGTTTATGAGGTGTCGTTTGTAAAGTTACACAGTCAAAAACTACCACAAACATTTTAACAAGTATTTAATTTACAAATTAAATATTTAGTTAACAAGCTAAATATTTAACTTGTGACTTAAATATTAGTTTTGAGCTAAATATTTAGCTTGAAACTTAAATATTCAACTAGCTACCTAAATATTTAAGTTAAATATTTAGCTAGCTACTTAAATATTTAAGTTGTATTTAAGGTTAGATAGCTATAGCTAGCTAAATATTTAACGATATGTTTAACATTTAAAGTTAAATATTTAGGTGGCACGCTAAATAGTTAACTTGCTAGCTAAATATTTAAGTTGCAACCTAAATATTTAGGTGGCTAGCTAAATATTTACATAGCTAGCTAAATATTTAGGTAGCTAGTTAATTATTTAACTTGCTAGCTAAATGTTTAAGTTAAATATTTAGGTGGCTAGCTAAATATTTAAGTTGCAACTTAAATATTTATGTAGCTAAATATTTAAGTTGCAAATTAAATATTTATGTAGCTAAATATTTAAATTAAATATTTAAGTGGCTAGCTAAATATTTAACTTTCTAGCTAAATATTTAAGTTGCAACCTAAATATTTAGGTGGCTAGCTAAATATTTAAGTT